AACTTGGATGGGTCTCAAACACATGGTGAGAGAAAAAAAGTCATCCTTAAAAAGATCACGTACAAGATGGTTCCATTATGTGGTATTTTCAGAATGACAAAACTATGGAGGTGGAGAACAGATTAGTGGCTGCCAGGGGCTACACAGGGAGGGAAGACAGTGAGTGTAACTGCGAAGGGTAGCACAAGAGAGATCTTCACTGTGATGGAACTCTTCTGCATCAGGACTGTGCTGGTGGTTACCTGAATCTACACATAATAAAATGAAATAGAATTACACATATTCATTGAACCAATGTCAACTTCCTGGTTTTGATATTGTACTACAGTTATGAAAGATGGAACCAGTGGGGGGAAAGGTACATGGGATCACTCTGTACTATATTCGCAACTTCCTGTGAATCCATAATTATTTCAAAGTAAAAAGTTTTTATTTAAATTCCTGTTGGAGAAATAAAGCTTATATACATGACATTTTTAAAGTAGTTACCGCAAGTGGATCTAAAGAACAAGTAATTAAGAAATATTATTGAACTGCATCCCTATTTAACATTCTGGTCAACAGGAAAAACTGGATGGACTAGACGCTTAAAGATCCAAACTCCTGTCCCGCTCCACTATCATCTACGTGATCCGGAGCCTCAGTGTTTTTCATTTCTAGAATATAAAATACCCATTTGCCTTTTTCCCCCCCAGGTTTATTACACTCAATAGAATAATGTCTGTAAAACCCTAAGGAATAAATAGGTTGTACCTTAGGATAAAGAGAAGGAGCATGGCCTTTCAGATCAGAAAGACCTCACTTCAAAACCACAGCTCCGACACTCTGGACTGTCTCTATGCTCTGAAGCAAGTTACTTAATCTCACAAAATCTGTTTCCTCACGCATAAAGCTGGAATGATATTACAGTGTGATTAAACAAAATACTTCAGAGGGTCTTACACAGAAATAATTCTGAATAAGTATTGTTACCCCTATTAATTATTTTTCCAAAACATTTTTAATTACCATAAAATATAAAATCTATTTAAGCAAAACTCTTCAGAGAAGGAAAGTACAGAAGGTTCAATCAATCTTGTATCAATTTGCCTTTTGTAATACAGTCAGCATCTATTTAACAGGGCTTTTTGGTTACTGAATCACTTACTTCACAGGGCAAGTTATCAACATAATGAATACCAATTGATGGCCCAAACTCCTTTGTTTACATTAATTTCTTAAATTAATGACACTATCACCTAGGGTTTAAAAATCTTGCAGCCTAAAATAAAATAAAATAAAATAAAAATCTTGCAGCCTTACGAAAAGTATCCATTGATGTTATAATGACTGAGTCTGGTCTACACAGTACATGTAGCACAAAACTCTTAGTTGATAAGAGACTATCTTTTGATTTCACTTTCTCCATTTACCTCATTCCCTTTTGTTAGTGTAAAAAAAAAAGTGAGTTTCCTATATGATGAATATTTCAGAGGAAGAAAAAGAATCCTTATGTTATGAAAGTTTTCCTGTTACGCCAAATACAGCGCATGTCCAGATAATGAAAACAGACGTGACCACCTCACTTACTCAGTGGTCACTGGCTTGACAACCCTCACTATCCAGAACACAACACCAAACTCAGAACTAAACTCCATGAACTTACAAGTCTGTGTAGTTTATTTTCAGGATGCCCTTGAGTCCTCACTCAGAATCTATTTCTTATTTAAGTAGAATTCCAACTATTAAATCTTATGACTCTGATTAGTTCCTGGCTTAAACAAATCAGCCTTAAAAAAAAACATTTTGGGAACAGCCAGGTAAATCTGATTATGGACTGGTTTTGGATATCAGGGAATTATGGCCATTTTTATTAGGTTAATAATAATATTGTGGTTATACAGTTATGACCTTATTTTTTAGAGATGTGTACTAAAGTATTTAGGAGGAAATATCATGAGGTCTATAATTATTTTTAATTAGTTCAGAAAAAAATTAATGAAGTAAATATGGCAAAAGGTTACAACCTAAGTTTCGAGACTATGAATGTTTATTATACTCTTTCCCCTAGTTTCCTGTATGTTTAAAATTTTTCATAATAAAAAATTTTTCAATGTTTTTTAACTCCATGACAAAGATTGCCTGTCTGGTTTCCTATCCCTGCCCAAGGAAGTGAAATCAGGGTCAGAAGCAGCAAGTGGAGAAGAGGGGGAGGGTGGCTGCAATGCGGCTGTTGAGGGTCGTAAGGAGGCAAACTGAGCAGCCTGACAGCGAGGGAACAGACGCCAGGATGATACTCTAGTACATAAAATTCAAACAAAGCTCTGGGGCCATTAAGGCAGGAGCTATTCGGGCTATCTAGCGTTACAAACCAATATAATAATTAACAGAGATTGAGATTCTCGTGTTGCTTTTTATTACTGACTGCTTAACTGTGGTATTTTATTACCTCATATAAAAATAAGCTTGCTGTACACTTGAAACTAATACTATAAATCAACTGTATTTCAATTAAAAAAACACAAGTTACCAAAGGTGAAAAGAAAAAAAAATTACATGTACATAATATAAAAGCAGAACTCTACAATCAGCAATATACACATGTAAACTCTGCCAATATTCCCAAATGTCTGTTTCAAACGACAAAGTTTATATACATTAAATAAGCACTTCCACGTTCTTACTTATCACATAAATGGTAACAAGGAAGGCACAGAGTGTAATCAATGAACCCTTATTGCAAGCTAACCGATTTTCTGCTTTTCCACACAGTATTGCAATGAAAACCATTCCACATACAATTTCTTCCTTCTTTTGAAATATTTACTTGGGACAGTATCCCAGAACTAAGATTAGTGGGTCAAAGGAACGAACATGTTACCAAGCCGTATTCCGCTTCATACTCTACCACACCACAAGCATACACTCATTTCACTGCAACCTTATCTCAGACATTGGTTAAACTTTTCTCCCTACATTACAGAGACATAATCAGTATCCAAAAACTGCACGTGATTGATGTATACAGTCTGGTGAGTGCGGACATACGTATACATTCATGTTACGATGATCACAATCCAGGTAACAGGCTTATCCTTCATCCCCAAGGTTTCCTGGTTAAGCTTTTATTGTGGTAATTCAGCAGCTGTAAAATAGTATCTAACTTGAAAACGCTAAGTAAAACAATTCAAAAAGTGCAGCGTTTTTCCTTATGTTCCTTCACCCACAGCGTTTACCCTTCGACAGCTCTTCACAAGTCAGTTACTCTTCGGGACTTTGTGTGTCTCCAAATGAAAAGCGTCAACCTCACTAGTACTCAAGGAAGGGAACATTAAAGAAAGAGGGGCCATTTCTCACACACAACATTGTCACAATGTCAAGACTGAGAGTTCCAGTTAGTGAGCTCACAGGAAACAGGCATTCAAGTGTATTTTAACCCAGACATCCAACTTTTAAAACTCCTTAACCCAGATATCTAACTTTTAAGACTACCATAAAGAAACAAAGGCAACAGTAAGAAGGAATATATGTTTATTACAGGATGAACTATAGCAAACTAGAAAACTAGAACCACCTGAATGCCCGTCAATATGGGAATAGCTGAATAAATTACGGCACATCTACGCCATGGAATATTCAGCAG